TTCTGCTCATTACTGATCCCGCTTGGCAGCCGGGCTGCCTTTTGAGGAGCCTTCCTCCCCCCCATCTGCCGACCCTCCTCCGCGGTGGGCGCACTCGTTAAGCATACGTGGAGCTTAATTGGCTGCAGAAAGCTCCCCAGCCTCTGGGCTGCCAGCCGAATGCCAATTTGTACCCAGCTGGCACACTGGGGTTGTCACCTCAGCTCCGGCCATGTCCCCTGGCATCCTCCTGGGCTCTGCTCAGCCCTTGTCCCCTCCGGGTGGGTGGTGATGGAGCTTGTGGCCACCATCCAACCCATCGCACCAGGATGGCTGGTAGCCCCAGGGACCATCCCACGTGGACCAGAAATTGGGGAGACAGCCCCAAACCCAGGCAGACATGGTTGTGAACCTTGCCCATGCCACCCCCTTCTCCTGTCCAAGAAACACCCACCCCCAGCAACCCCCTCCTGACCTTCTCCCGGGCCCCGTTTCAGAACGAAACGGATGACAACCAGATCCAGCTGGTGGGAGGTGACGTGGAGCTGCCCAAGGAGCTGGCCAAGATGATCGAGCAAGACAACGAGGAAGAGGAGGAGAAGAACTCGGTCATCGGCCAGCTCAGCAACATCCAGAACCTGGACCTTGATTCCTTGAAGGACAAAGCTTCGGCCACGCTAGAGGACCTGAAGCAATCGGCTGAGAAATGCGCCGTGATGTGACCCCCCCCCAAGCCTGGAGACCCCCCCCCTGCCCGTCCAGGTGGGAGAAGGCAGCGAAGGGTCCGGTGGTGACCTGTCTCCTGCAGCGGGGGACCCCTCTGCTGTTGTCACCCTTTGCCGTGGTGTGAGTTGGGTGAAGCCTCCAGTCCCTGACCCAGATGTCCCTGATGTGAAGGACGAGGAGCAATGAGAAATGTCCCCCCTTCTTCTACCCCCTCCATCCTCCCTCCCCCATCCTCCATCGTCCTCACGGGAGAAATACCATCCCCTTCCAAGGAGGTGGCTGGGAAGGACCTGCTACACCATCCCATCCAGCCCAGGATGGGAGGGATAAAGCTGGAATTAATGCCAGAAAGGAATAAACCCCCCCCCTCTCCCCACCCCACAGCAGCCCCACAGGCGGCGGTGGCAGATTCTCCCTCTCCCGGGGTGGGATCCGCTCCTGTGGGATCCGTGTTCCTCCCAGGAGAAGAACAGATAAGGGAGATAAAGAAAAAGAAGGAATCTCCCTCCTGCTCCTCCGTCGTGCCGTAGTTCGTGCGCTGTGTCGAGTGTGTGTGTGTGTGTGTGTGTTCCCCCCCTCCCCACCTCCTGTGCTCTCCCCCTGCCGTGGTACCGTCATAACCGGTGGAATAAATACCAGGAGATGTCTATGCACTTATTTCTCTCCTCGAGCAGTGCTTTCCCCCAGCCAGGTTTTTGGGGGACCCCAAAAATGTAGGAGGGATGAAGCGCATCCCCCTAAAAGGGGGAAATCTCCCCCAGCGTCCCGAGAGCATCGTCCCCCCGGGTCGTGGCGGGGTGTTTCGCCGTGTTTCCTCCCAAAGGGATGCTACGAAGGGCTCTTTGTCAGCAGCCAGCTCTAAAAGCTGACCAACCCCCCCCAATTTCATAGATTTAATTATTTAATATTTAAATATTTAATTAAAAAGCCTTCCTGTGCCTCACCAGCTCCCCATCTCCCTCCTCCCGGCATCCCCAGCTCTGCACCTCTCCGCAGGGAGGAGATGGGGATAAATCCAGGTGTGACTTCCAGAAGGGAGGGGGTTCCCTCCCACCGGCATCCCGGAATGGGGGGGGGGGGGGGGACCCC